GATTGACTTATTTTACACAGTCGACTTATATTTTGGTTCGTTGATTTTTTACTTTGTTGATTTATTTATACAGTTGATTTATTTTTTATGTTCGTCGACTTAATATTCAGTTTCGTCGACTTATTTTAAATTGTTGACTTCTATTTTATTTGATTGATTCTTTACTTTGTCGACTTGTTTAACCATTGACTTATTTTATTTTTTTGTCGACTTAATATTCAACTTCATCGACTTATTTTAAACTGTTGACATATATTATCGTTTGATTGATTTTTTACTTTGTCGACTTATTTAATCATTGACTTAATTTTCACTTTTGTCGACTTAATTTTCAGTTTCGTCGACTTATTTTAAATTGTTGACTTATATTTCGTTTGCTTGACATTTTAAGTTATCGACTTATTTAAACCACTGACTTATTTTTGTTAATTCGTTGACTTAAAATTTTGTTTTATCGATTTATTTCAAACCATCGATTTATATTTGGGGCAATTACAAAAATGCCACTTTTTGTGTGTACATTTGCAAGAATGCCACTTAGGGGTGTTCATTTACGAAAATGACACTAATTATAGATTTATAAAGCATATATCTTAGAATTCTAAACCCTAAAAAATATTTTGACACCTAAAACCCCCTAAACACTCAAAACTAAACCCAAATAGAACATAATTAACCCAAACATAAATAATATAAAGAAAAAATAATTTTGAAAAAGTGGTATTTTTNTAAANATTTCAAAANTGTGGNANTTNTGTAAAGTGACACTTGAAAAGTGGCATTTTTTGAAATTTCTTTATATTTTGATTGATTGAATTTTTACCTTGTCGACTTATTTAAACCATTGATTTAATTTTTTGTTCATCGACTTGACATATTATTATATAAATTAATTAAATTGTAAATTGTAAAATTAATTAAAATCAATTCCTTAGATATTTTATCAAGAAATTTTTTTATTAGATTATTAGATTATCAATAGATGGTTATATATTAGTTTTAAATATTATAAACTAATTTTTAAATAAAAACTAGAAAAATTAAATCATTTTCTTTTCTAACTTAATCTTGTTAAATAAGGATATAATTGTCATTTCAACTCTTAAAATATAGTATTTTTTAAAGTGTAACAAATTTGGTATAGATCTCAAATTTCCAATAATATTTGGAGTATACAAGCCAATTTTCTCTATTTAAAACGCATACAATAGCGAAAAAGAAACCACACTGACTTATATCGTAACAGGTGAATCTCCATTCATGAACTTGATCCATAGACGACAACTCTTCTACCAATTATTATTAATTATGGGAACTTCTTTTACTACATATATCAGCAAGTAAAGACAAAGGTCTATAAAATACCTATATAGAGAAATACGATTTCGAACTCGCGTATTATACACCAGGATAGGAAATGTATGCTTCTAAATTACTACTAATCTTTTTTTTTTGC